AGGGTGTCTGCTACCCCCAAATGGGGCACCCACCACTGCCCCCCGCAGGTACCATCACACCCCAGAGTCCCTCCGGGGCGCCCCATGTCCCCACACGCAGCATCACCCCGCTCACCCGCCCACCCCCCAGCCCTCTCTGCACCCACACACCTGGGGGTCCCCGGCAGCACCCAGGGGCAGCCCTGCACCCACCCCCCGCGAGGTGGGCACCGTCACACTGTGCCACGCACAGGAGACCTCCCTCCTGTCCTCCCCCAACTGGTGGCTGCAGCCAGGGGGGGCACCCCCGTGTCCCCCAGGATGGGGTGCGGGCAGGGGTACCCCCCGTGAGCGGCATTGTCCCACGCGAGGGAACAACCTGTGCTCATCGGGATTCCTGGAACCAGGGGCAGCCTTTCTCTGAATCTCCACAGAGAAAACCAATCACTGCAAAAACGCTGTGGTCGGTGCCAAGAAGAAATCTTAAGGATTTGCTGTTTGTTGGAAAGTGCTGCCAAAAAAGCAATGTTTTCGGGCCTGCTCAGGCAGCAGAGGATTTCATTCCTGGTGTTGGGTCTGGGCCAAGCACGAGCAGAGTCGATACGAATTTTATTGCCCATAATCGATGAGCTCTGTGCAGCGCCGCAGGGCGGCCCCCCCCCGCGCTGAGGTTCATGGCACACCTGCAAACCGCTTGTACCGCACGTGAGCAGCTCCCCTGGACATCAGGAATGAATGGCACAGTGCTGAATGCCTTTTAAACACCCCTGTCTAACTCTGTCATCTTAGAAATAATGTTTTTAAATCAAACTTTTCCATAAAACGTTGGTGCCTGAGTGTTGGCCACACTGCGACTGGCCCTCGGCAGCGCGCGGGCGATGCCACACGTGTGAACCTGATGGGAAATGCAGTTCCCCGAGCGATGGGCAGCATAAGGGTGTTCTCTTTGCTTTCCGGTTCTCTGCGTGTAAGGAAAAGCCCGGTGCTACATGAAGACGGTGGCGGGCAGGGGCCCAACATGCTGCGCCATACTGTGCCAAGCCCTGCCATGCCGCGCCATGCCACACCATGCCGTGCCATCCCATGCCAAGCCCTGCCATGCCGTGCCATGCCATGTCATCCCGTGCCAAGCCCTGGCATGCCACGTCACGCCGTGCCATGCTGTCCCAAGCCC